CCCAAATCTTATTCTCAGGCTTTCTCGGACCCCAACTGGCGTAATGCCATGACAGAGGAATATAAAGCACTTATTTCAAATGGAACTTGGACCTTAGTCCCGAGACCGTCTCATGCAAATGTTATTAATTATATTTGGCTATTTCGAAAGAAATTTCATGCAGATGGCTCTTTATCCAGGTACAAAGCCCGACTTGTTGCTAATGGAAAAGCCCAGCGCCCTGGCATTGATTGTGATCAGACTTTTCGCCCGGTTGTTAAACCGGCCACCATCCGTACAATACTTTCTCTTGCAGTTTCTCAAAACTGGCCCATACGTCAGTTAGATGTCAAAAATGCTTTCTTGCACGGCCACCTTCAGGAGACGGTTTACATGCAACAACCCCCAGGTTTTCGTGACTCTAACTATCCTGATCACGTATGTCTTCTTCAGCGCTCTCTATACGGTCTCAAGTAAGCCCCACGTGCTTGGTTTCACCGATTTGCACAGTTTCTTCTCCAGTTTGGATTCATTCATAGTCGATGTGATTCTTCATTATTTATTTATCGACAGGGTTCTCACATGGCTTATTTGCTCTTATATGTCGATGATATTGTTCTTACAGCCACCTCACCCGAGTTACTTCAACAGATCATGACTACCCTAGCTGGCGAATTCTCCATGACTGACTTGGGACCTCTTAATTATTTTCTTGGTATTTCCGTGACTCGTGATCAAACGGGTATGTTCTTGTCTCAAAAGAAATATGCCTTAGAGATTCTTGACAAGGCTCACATGCTGAACTGTAAACCTGCGCGCACTCCAACCGATGCCTCTTCCAAGTTACCTGCTTCTGGACCCCCCGTCTTTGACCCGACCCTATACCGCAGTCTTGCTGGGGCCCTGCAGTACCTTACATTCACCAGACCTGACATCACTTATGTTGTTCAGCAGATTTGTCTCTTTATGCATGATCCTCGTGAGCCTCATCTCAATGCGCTTAAACGTATTCTTCGCTACATTCGTGGTACATCCTCTTTCGGTCTTCAGTTGTATGCATCATCTTCTCAACGGTTAGTTGCCTATTCTGATGCGGTTTGGGCCGGGTGTCCGGATTCCCGACGGTCTACTTCTGGTTTCTGTATTTTCTTGGGTAAGAATTTGGTATCTTGGTCCTCTAAACGACAGTCCACTGTCTCTCGTTCAAGTGCTGAGGCGGAATATCGTGGGGTTGCAAATGCTGTGGCAGAAACTTCTTGGATTCGTAACCTACTTCGTGAGCTTCATCGCCCCCCTGATAAAGCCACCATTGTGTATTGTGATAACGTGAGCGCAGTTTATATGTCAGGCAATCCGGTCCAACATCAACACACTAAACACATAGAGATTGATATTCACTTTGTTCGTGATCAGGTGGCCACCGGGCAGATTCGTGTTTTACATGTTCCGTCTTCATATCAATATGCTGATATCTTCACGAAGGGCCTCCCAACACCATTGTTTCTTGATTTTCGGTCCAGTTTGAACATTCAGTCTCATGAACCCGTTCAAACTGCGGGGGGATGTTAGCTATATTATTATTGTATGTATTTAGGCCCAAAGGATTAGTATTATAGCCCATAATGTATTTATCTTGTATATATATTGATTAATGAGAATGAGCCGATTCATGGGAAAACATACACAATTACAATTTTTTATTTATTTACGAAAAATATATTTAATAAAAAATATGGGACAACATACACCCCCTTCCCCCATTCGTCTTCCTCGACCAGATCACGTTTCACTAAATACTAGAACTAAACAATTGAATGTTGTATTTGTTGTGGATGTTGCAATCACGTTTCACTAAATACTAGAACTAAACAGTTGAAGTATTTTGAAAGTACTTTTGGATTTTTATATGGTTCAAAGAATTTAAAGACAATAGATGAGAATAAACTTAATGAATGTTGTATAAAGTTTGGAACTACGTTTTCTTATGACATTTTTATGATATGGATTCAAGTGAATTTTTTTTTTGAATTAAATGTGTCACAAACGTCTCTACCGATCGAATAATATAGAGTTCGTGGTTGAAATTTTGAAATTTGTTAAAGTTGCTGATTGTTATCTGAATGCTTTTATTGCATATAGAATCCTATTAACTATTTTTATAACTGTTGCATCTTCAGAAATAAGTTTTTAAAAGTTGAAGTTATTGAAGAATTACTTAAGTCTGTCGATGTCACAAGAAAAGTTGAACGGATTGGTTATTCTATAAATAGAGAAACATATACTCCCTTCGTCCCAAAATTATTGTCCACATTACTATTTTAGTTTGTCCCAAAATTATTGTCCACTACCAAAAGTAGATATACACTTTTACCATATTACCCCTAACATTTAATAAAGTAAACTTTAATAATTACAAATGCATATTTCCCATTGTTTTTAGAAAAGAACAAGAGGGTCATTTTATTCAAAAAGACAAAACTAATGATTGCTTTTCTTAATCCGTGTGTTTTTTGTCTGTGGACAATAATTTTGAGACGGAGAGAGTATTAAACAAGATCGATTTTGAAGATAATATTATTAATTTTGCATTTCAAAAGCTAGAAGAAGAATTCTTTTTATGTATGCGGATTTTTATAATCGAAAATGTTATATATTTAGAAGGTAGGAGAAGTAATTTTTCTTTCAATTTTTGAATTAACATAAAAACGTTGATGATATTTGAGTATTTTAAGGAAATTTTTTTCCGTCTCGTCTTAGACCTAAAATATGTTTAGAACAACCGTGTACATTGTGGGTATTAATTTCCAGGTAAATGTGGAATGGTGCGGAGATGACATGAGATGATATAACAACCAAAATGGTGTCGAAATTGTGACACATAGGTGGAGCCTAGTTTATAAACCACGTACACAAAGTTAATTGGTGACACCAGATTCTCAGACATCAACATGCATATTTGTCACCTTTTTCTTTCCATAAAGACAAACTAAAAACACAAACGATGAACTTATCAAGGCTGCAGGAACCCTTTAATTATGAGGGCTGCCATGATAAGATTTCAGAAGCTCCTTCCTTTCGTAACTTTAAATAGCTGTAATTAGATGGGTATCACATTAATCCTTTTGGTTTTTTTATTTTGGGAATGAATAAACAAACTAATACATTGATAGTTATAAAATAACTTGAGCAACCTAATACATAATCTCTAGAGATCAATGCCTTGATCATTTAATCCTCATTTTATGGAATTAATTATGTATAGTGCCAAAACAGATCAGCTGCAGCTTGACCTCTAAATAAATGAAAGAGGAAGGAGATGTAGATCACATATTACACCAATATATACCTATTGTGGAATCTATTTTTTCTTTTTTTCTTATTTCCTTTTTTCTCATCAGAATGAAAAGACATAAATGGAATCATATATAAACACACGTACAGTTGGGAGGGAGAGAGAGAGAGAGAGAGAGAGAGAGAGAGAGAGAGAG